CGAGGTGGGGGGAGAAAAAAAAAAAAAGAAAAAGAAAAAAAGAGACGAGCAAAGTCTAAATGAGCTGCTAGGGCAAGTGTCCGAACGAAACCGGTCGCTGCTAGCGGGAGGAGGAGAGGGCAGGGTGGGCAACTTGGAGACATCCAGAACAAAGCCACAGCTCGGATGAAATGAATGACGGTGGAGACGGTTTCCTTTTGCTCCGCTACTGATCAGGGTATTACCGAAACCTTACAGCACTCAAAGAGTTAGAAAGCGGGGGTAGGGGGGAGCAAAGATGCGGGTTTGGGGTGGGAGACGTTAATAAAGGAGGGGAGGGGAAAAAAAAGGGGGGGAAATAAAATTCAAAAAATCATGGAAGCGAAGGCACTCCAAACTATATAGATACACTATACATCGCTAGAGTTATTGTTACAATAATACAGGCCGGTACCTACTGTACAGAGTTAAAACTATATGGCTTTAAAAAGCTCGTCTACATTTTGTCTGATTATTAAACAGAATCACTGCCCTGAACGGTAACTTTTTGCTCATTAATAACAGTTCCTGGGTCCACATATTTACATACAAAACAATAAAACTCAAAATTCAAAAACAACCAAAAATAATAATGTACAAGCTTGAATTTGGTGAGGAGCTTTGTTTTTTGTTGTTGTTGGGGTTTTTTTTTTTGTTGTTTTTTAATTCTTATTTACAAAAAAGGTTATTCAAAGACCTGGATCTAACTTGTATAAAAGAGTGTGTGATCCTGCCATGATCCTTGGAAAGAAAAGAAAAAAGAAAAAAAAAAACAAACTAAAACCAGAGAGGCGCCCCCGACCCTCCCCCAGCCTAACACACACACACACACAAGACACACACACAGACGCCAGCACAGTCACAAAACCAGAGGGAAAAGCTCTTAACTCCCCTCTGCCAGTCTTAAATGAAAAGACAGAATGAAAAAGAAGAAAAGCCACATTTCCTGGCACAAGCAGCAATTTTTCTTCATTATTACTTTTTGTTTTTTTTTTTAAAGACTCAGTAATTTACTGCCTCCAAATAACAGCGTCCGTGGCCAATGCTTCAGCAGTCTCGCCTATACGGCGGATCCATACCCTGCCACTGTCCTACTTTTTGATTCTCCTGCATCCGTTTGGATCACGGGGTCAACCGAGCCCCTTCACTTACCT